ATGCCTCATGGTAGTTCTTTTCCTAGTTGGGCAGGTACTGAGGCTGAATGCTGTGCCTGAAGTAGAGAGGGTGGCAGAATGCCCCCTAAAAGCAGGGCTATGTCCATCCCTTTGGAGTGGAACTCTCTGGTACAGAGCCTTGTCTCCCTATCAGACCAGAATTCCGTGGGGTTGGGTCCTTTCTTCACTTACACTAGGGTTGTCTGGGTGAGAGCAATGTTCCCCAGGGGCTGGACTGGACTGCCTCTCTTGAACCAAGGTTTATGAGAGTAGGGATTCTTCTGGGGGCCTAGCACTTTGGACTATGCAGTTTGAGTCCCATATAGAAGCACAGGAGGTGCCAGTGGAGGCTGGTGTCCACTCCCCTGCTCCCTTCTCTAAGCTCTGCACCCTGATGCCAGGCTGTGTCAATTGGGAGGAAAGGGGGCCCAAGCTGAACATCTCTTAATTCCAACAAAGGCTTCCTGTGTGCCAGCAGTGACCCAGGTCCTCTATCTGGGATTATAGGTCCCTGCTGCCTTGTCTTTCCACATCCAATCAGGGCTTCTGAGTCAGAGCTGTTTCCTCCTTTTACGCTGGGGCTTCCTGAGAAGCCCTATTGCCATTGAGACAAATGTTTCTTGGAGCAAGGCCCTGTTTTCTTCCATCTGACTGGGGATCCTAAGGGCAGGACTCTGTCTCTCCTCAGACAGAAGCTTCTGGGGGAGTTCTTTCTCTTTCCTATCACAAAGGATATCCATATAGAGCTAGGATGTTACCCTCAGGCCCCCTCTTGCTGTGATCTTTTGGGACTGTGTGATTACTCTCTTCCTCTTTGCCCAAGGCACTCACAGGTAATGTCTGCCTGTTTCTTTCTGGGTCTGATACCAAGGTTTGGCAGGACTGAATAGTTATTCGCTCAAGGGATCCTGGTTTTGAAGTCTTCAGGGGATTTGGGGCTATGTCTCTGGGTCCCTCATGAAATGAAACCACATAGGATACCTCTTGATGAATGAGAAGCTTCAGAAATGCTCAGAGCCCACCAGAACCCAGGTGACCTTGGCATCACTCCTTAAAACCCATCTGTAGAAGGCCTATTCCCTGACACCTGTGCCTTCTGGGTTCAGTTAGGGGCAGTGGACGCAGAGGGAACCAAATACAGTTCACGTTTCTCTTCTCCCCTCCCAAGGAGGGGGAGGAGTTAGCACCAGGCAGGCGCCTCTAAGCTTTCATCTACGTGAGCTTCTTTCTGACGGTCACCCACCCTCTCCTTACCTGGTATCTGTCTGAGTGGTGCAGGTCGTCAGTGGCAGAGGAGTGTGGTGACGCTGTTGGAGACTCTCCTTCTCTCTTGATGGAAGCAGACAACAGGAGGGACTGGAAGAAGAAAGGGACATGTCGCCTCAGGCCAAATGAGACCTGCAGTCAGTCAGTCCCCTAGACTTCCCAGTCCAACAGAGCTTTGGGGAGAGGGGCAGAGAGGAAGGCAGAGGGATAGTCTCAACCACTCTTGAGAAGGCAGGAAGGTGTTGGGGTCCTGGGGGTATGGTGGTGGAAGAGGGTGGCTTGATTCTAGGAACGGGTAGAGACCTTCAAGAGGGTCCAAACCTCCCAGACCCTAGGTAATCTCTGCCCCAGTGGGGCAGGACTCCCTGCCCACTCCCAGTGGGCTGAGATGATATATGCTTTGTTCTCCCTTAGCAAGCAGAGACTCTGGGATCCCCCCCAAGGGTTGGGGGTAAAGCCACATACCTGCTGCCCTGCCTGCCCCTAATACAGGCTGACGGCAGCCCTGCTATGGAGACAGTAAATTAAATAGTATGTATGAGTTTCCCGCATGCAGCTAGGGATGTACGCTGGGTCCATTTATCCCTGCGCTGCGGCAGTGACCCCAGCAAGAACCCCAGCAGAACTAACCCCCCCCCACGTCAATCCTGTGCAGCCTCTCCTACATGCGCCTGCAGTTTAGATTAATAAACTGTCTGCTTTACATTGTGTTCGAGCGCCACAATTCTAAATACCACATGGCACGTTCAGCCGGCTCTTGCCAAGGCCTGTTCAGCTGCAAACGGGGGTCCTGGAGGCCTGAAAGCAATCCCTACTTCCTTCCCCCACCCTCTCCAGCCTGCACGGCTTGGAGCCGGAAGCATACAATTCCCTAGGAGGCCTCCCCAGCCTAGAAACCATGCCAAATCGCCAGTGACAGCCCAAAGAAAGCAATTTGGGAAAGATGGAGCAGCCATTTATCCTTCATCTCCGATCGAGCCTTAGGATGTGACCCGCATGCGGTGGCTATGCTGCACATCCTCAGGCAAGGGCCCTGGGAGGGGAGGGGCAGTTGCTGGCCTGGCAGGGCTCCCTGACTCAGCCTCTCCCCAAGAGCTGGCAGAGGAAAGAGCCTGGGAAGGGCCTGCAACTTGGAGCCCTTTCTTCACCCAGCCAGGCAGGCCCAGTGCAGATTAAGGTGGGCTTTCAGCCAATGTCCTTCTCCTTCTCTGGTCCCAGGGAGGATGCTGAGGAGGGGAAACAATGTGGGGGTCCCTGCCCCCCGCCACGAGAAAGCTCCCTCTTGTGTGCTTTCTCTCTCTCATTCTCTCTAGGTTAGAAGCCCTGAGAGGCCCCAGCATTACACCTGGGGCAAGCAGAATAAAAAAAGGTCACTGGCGCTTTTTAAACATGGACCAAAAAGCAGTAAAATGTGTTTTGAAAAAAAAATCCTGGCATTAAATCATGACTTTTTGCCTGGCTCTTCGCCTCATTAAAAGTGGCCTTTTGGAAGGTAAAATTATCATTGTAAGCGATAAGATCTTTAAGAAAATAATTCACGGCTTCTTCACCCTTTAATATGATAGCCGCCACCGGCTAATTTTTTTCTTAATGGCAATGAGGCCATCAATCTTGTCTAAGGCCCCCTCGCCCTCTCCTCCTCCCCCCTCCCTCCTCCTCCCTGTCTTCTCAGTCTCTGGCTTGAACCTTCTACCTCACGCCTCTTCCACCCATGGCCCACTTCCCTACAGCCTCAGCCACAGGCAGGGGATAGACCCTGAAATGGTCAGCTTTGGGGGCGTGAGCATGAATCTGGATGTGGGCAAGCAGGGGTCCTTGCCTCTGAGTTTGATTATCAACATGCCTGTGTCGGTGGTGGCAGGATCCACACAGGTTTTAAGACCTCCTGTGTGAGTATTCTGACCTCGGTAGTGTGAGCGTCTGCATATGTGTGGGGCCAGGTATGGACGTGAATTGCATCTGTGTTTATCCTTCGAGCACAGGCCTCACTGGGGTCCAATGCCTAGCCCTGACAGCCATGCTCAGGTGTCAGGCGTCAGGTGGCAACGGCTGGCCTACCTTCCTTAACCACAACCACTGAATGCTGCAGGCATCCACGGGTGGGTGGCTCCCCACCTGCATGGTCCACGGCTGCGTGGCAACACCCACCTTTTCTCTTTAGGGCCAGAGGACTTTGCTTCCTTGGGCAGGGCCTACATCTGTCTCTGCCCCTCATTCTGTCCAACTTTCTGTGTTGAGTGATTTCCTGAATGAAGGTGCAAAATCCACTCCCACCCTTTCTGAGGCCTCTGGGGGAGTTGGGCCAACCTGGGAGGTAATATTATCGCTCTGGCTCCTTTTCTCCAAACTGCCCTCTCAGATGTCACCAGTGCCTTTAAGACTTCTTAATGCAATGGTTCCCTTCTCTGGACTTTCTCTCTTCAACTGCTGACCACCTCATACGTTTGGAACTTTTCTCCCCGAAGAGTCTGGGGTACCAGGCTCTCCTGGGCCCCTCCTAACTTGCGACCCCTCCTCCTTTGCCCCTTTCCTCGTGCCTATACCTTATCTTGACCCCCCAATGCAGGGGTCCCCAGATTCTCTTCTTGGCTTTTGCTCTAATTTCTCTGTGCATGCCTCCTGACTGATTTCATCCATTTCTGAAGCTTTAACCCTCACTCCTCACTCCCTATAAAAAGGGCCAGGGTTTCCCGCCTTTACGAGTCATTTTGAGAACTCTTAAGAAAGGATGTTGCCTTACCGAGGGTGAGGAAGGGGACACTCAGTGAGTAGGGTCTAGTTCTCCTCCTCAGGTCCACACTCCCTCAAAATCATCACCTTTGGGGAAGCAGTACCATCTGCCTCTGGGGCCACCTATGGGAGTTCTTGGTACAAATCATGTCATTGTGCTAAGGCCTCTCTGGCCCCTCCTTTGAGCCAGCCACTTGCCCTTCATTTTTCCTTTCTCTGTCTGATGCTTTCAAACCTCTCTCCCATAGTATCCGTTTAGAGGGGGCAGATTGTCTCCCCAGATGAGCCCAATATCCTCCCTGGCTCCCTGCTGCCCTCAGGACAAAATACACACACACACACACACACACACACACACACACACACACACACACACACACACACACACACACACACACACACACACACACACACACACACACACACACACACCCATGGCCTGGCTTTGAAGGCCAGTGCACTCTCTGTCTTGACCTGCACTTCTGTATTTTTTTTTACCTGCTACAGCTCACCTTCCTCCTTTGAGTCTTAATGTCTGAGCCCCCCATGCCTCCAGGTCATTCTTAGCTTTGACCCCTGTCCTGACTGGAAGAGGAAGAAGTTAGATGAACATACTCTGGCTCGTGCTCAGACTACGCGCGCGCGCGCGCACACACACACACACGCACATGCACACTCAAGCACACAGGTTAGCCCTGCGCCTCAGACTGACGATCAAACCCTGGAGACTGTTGGGCATCCAGGAAGAGCTCCTTTCCCTCGAGAGGAATCAGTCATGGGTAGGCCTAGGTTAGGATGGGTAGGAGGAAAACACACAATTGTCCACCTACCTTGGGGGTGCCTGGAGCCATGGCATCCTTCAGAAGGGAATTCTTGCTGCCAAGAAAGAAGAGAACAGGTGACCATACCACTTGCTGCCCAGGGCATGCAAGAGAAGAAATAGCAAGAAGACCTCAAAAAGAGAAGGCATAGCCAGCTTAGCCCAGCCCCGTGCAGCCAAGCTCTACCAAGGCCATTCAACCCCAGCTGGCCCTGACTAGCTCAGCCTCCATCAGGGACCCGTGGCAAGAGCTGGGAGGGGGCATAGACACTAGGCCTGGTAGGCTCCCTCGTGAATCTGAGGAAAGAGGCTTTACCTGACTCCTGGTATCAGCCCTGAGGATTCTGCATATCCTGGATGCCCCCTTCCCTCCACCTCCTGTCCCCAGCCTGCTCTTAGCTCCTATGGGATTGGGGTGATGGAGCTGACATGGCTCTTGTCAATTCTCCCTCCAACACGCTGCAAACTGCGTTAGGCCAGGAATGATCTCCCCCTGATTCAATTTGTCAGCCCCAGGCCCTCCGGCATCGGGCGCGGCAGGCGGGCGGGAGCTGGGCCCTGAAATATGGTGGGCGGCTCAGAGCAGGCGGGGGCAGGGGTGGGAGGTGATGGATGGGCTGTGGGGGAGGCGAGGACTGTGTTTAATAACAAAATTGGTATGCAAGGCCACATCCCGCGCTAAGCATGAGTGATCCAGAGCCACAAAGTATTACAAATCCCTGCTAAACAGATGCTGACAATGGAACAAGACGTATCAAATCAGATCCACTTCAGAAACATTAATATCCCTGTTCCTGTCCCTCCCTCCCTGCTGCCCCCACTGTGCTCACCACATCTGTGCTCACACATTCATGCACGTGCACTCACACACACATACAAATACATGCGCACAGAGGCGCTGGCTGATACATGCAGGAGGCAGACACAGCCCATTGACACAGGGTCCCTGCACGGACACGTACAAGCTATGTAGGTACAGCACACCCACAGAGCTATCTGTAAGGCACAAAAGACACACAGACACACACCCAAGGCAGAATGCGTGGGGCACGCACGGACTCACAGGGCATGGACCCAGGGAACACCCACACGGTCAGACGTAGATATACCCAGTATGTGAGCAAGGGCTTAGGTGGATTCAGATAAAGTCCTCATTGTCCCCCAGGGGATGTTTGGCAATGTCTGGAGACCTTTCTGATCATCACCACTGGGGGCCCAGAGTTTGCTACTGGCATCTGGTGGGTAGAGGATATTAACCATCCTACAATGTATGGGACAGCCCCTCCCAACGAAGAATTATCTGACCCCAAATGTTAATAGTGCTGAGGTTGAGAAACCCTGGCATAAAGGCAAATACACACATATCTGCTGTCCATGATTCTGTCAACAGTCACTCAGACCCATGTGGTCACACCCAGAGGCTCAAACATGTTGTAAATAAAGACCCATTCACAATAGTCCCCCAGACCTGGGTGAAGAGCTGCTCAGGCGCCAACATCCACAGAAATACATGCATGGATACAGACAGCCACATGCACGGACACGCACCCACACATGCAGACACACGTGGACACACACCCACACAGACACACGCATCACAGTGCAGAGGCCACCGGGCTCAGCAGCAGCATGAGCCTAAGGTCTGAGTGTAAACGCAGAGCTGTCTGCCTGTGTGATCACACAGTGTGGGCATCACAGACTGGGAAGGACAGCCAGACCAGGTTCCACTCAGTTCCATTTGGTTCCTGAACAGTCCCTCTATTCTTGCTCCCAGCCAGGCCCTGATCTAGGCAATGGGTACAGAGACGAAACTGAGCTGCTCTTGAGGAGCAACTAGTTGGGGACTTCATGACTTTGAGCCTTCCTTCACTCAGTCAACAAGGACTGACATCCCATTGCACCTGTGTCTGGACAGGTACAGAAATGAAGCATCTCTGTGTACCAGTATTCTCACTGGACCCCTGGCCTGAGGTCTGCGCTTTGTCTGAACAGGATCAGGTCGGGACCGAAAAGGACAGAGTGAACAATGATTGTGCACCAACCACATGGGACAGGTCTGGCAGGTATGGGCCAGGTACTCTATATGTGTCCTCTCTTTAATCTTCACAAAAACTTTACAAAGTTCACTAACAGATGTTAAATGACACCTCTTTGTTCACACAGTCCATGTAGGGTTTAGGGATTTGAGTTCCTGTTGGACCGAGTCTGAAGGGCTGCTTTTCCATTGCTCACACTGCTTCCCTAAAGATACTAAGGGGGTAGGCTGGAGGACAGAGCTTGGAGTTCTTTTTCTATCTCTACTTTGGGAACATCCCACTGACACTGGGCTTTAGTTTGCTCTGCTGGTGAGTAGAAATGAGGACATCTACGGTAAGAATGTCCAACCTCTCCCTTTGCCAATACTCTTCCCTCCCCCTTAAGTTGGACTGGTTTATATCCAAGGAGCCTGCCTCAGGCTCCTTCCCTCTCTCTGAGCAAGTGCCCCCCCCTTCTTCCAACAACCTGATTACCTCCGACTGTGCTTGGTTCCCCAGGGACAGGAGTCTCGTGAAAAGCCTGCCACTGAAAGGGGAGGTCCGAGCTCCAGAGCTCCAGGCCAACTGGCTCCTGCCCAGCCCACCGATTCCTCTGCCTTCCGTCCCTCCCTGTTTCCACAGCCCGCCCCCAACGATTTCCTCCCTTCTCAGTCACTCGCTGCCTAGTGATCCATGGGTTTTAAATTATAACTGGGACCCAGGAAACGCGTTCCTAAGTACAATATTCATGGGCTGGGCTGACACTTTTAATTAAGGTGATTTACACTGAATTATCCTTGGAAATAAAGAAATGGTGTGCTGCCCAGGAATAAACCATCATCACCAGCCGCCTTTGTAAGTTACACTTCGTTTTAATCTATTTGGGGAATTGTTTATCTAGTTCATTACCCAACCAAACACCGAGGCCGGCCTTAAATAAGGCTTAAGTGGGAGTGGGGGCACTGCCATCTCCATACCCTGACTCTCTAGAGTCCCCTAGCCTCCCTGTGGCTCCTTTCAGCACTTTGAAAGCACTGACCAGAGAGCTGGCTTCCCATCCTAGAGGCCAGGTCTCAAAGTGGCTTTGGAAGCCTCCCAGGAAAGGTCCCCAGGCTCAGGCCTCACCAAGCCACGCCACACTTGCACCTCTGTGCCATCTCTCCATGCCTAGGGCTCTTTCCTTTCTCTGGGTGGAAACTCCTGCCTGAGGGCCACAGAGAAGTCTGGGGGTCACTCCCCACAACCCTCCAATCTTCAGCCCCCTGTATGTTGCTGCCTGTCTGCACACAGCCAGTCTCTACTCCATCACCATCCCAGAGACATCTTAGGCTTAACATGCCCAGAGCCCTGTCCATTGTCTCCTCCTTTCCCCAGAAACTTCCTTCTCTGCCATCATCACCCTTCTGGTCACCCGGGTCAGAAAGCTCTTCCTAGCAAGTACCCTGTGAGTAATCACCTAAGTTCTCTTGCTTCTTCCTCCACCAGTCTCTCATCATTCCCTCTTCTCCATTCCCAAGGCCACTGCCATTGTCCAGGTCAGTGGGTCAGCTCATCATCTGTCCCTTGGACCCTGCCCAACATCCTCATTTGTCTCTCTGCTTCGACCCCCAATTCATGCTCCACACTGGCCTCCAGAGCGATTCTCCTACACTTCTGCAATCTGGTCAAGGTTCTTGCGGCTCACCAATATTCTGACTCCCCCTCTGCATCTAGGACAACCCTCCAGGCCTGAAAGCCCCCTTCAATCTGTCCTTAATCTAACTATGCCCTCCTTGTTCTAACTAGCTGAGTCCTGGGGTCTGTTTGCACTCCTGTGCAGGACTGAGAAAGGGGAGGCCGGGCTGAAGGAGGGTGTGAGGGCACAGCCTCTGATCTCAAATGTAAAAGTACTTTGAAAAGTAGACGTGCTTTGCCAACAGGAGTTCTGACTCTTCTTCCTGTAGGTGTCTGTGTGCCCACGTACCTGTGGGAATGAGTGTGTGTGTATGTGAGCATATCTAGTGTGCTGGAATGTGGGCGTGGACTGGTGCCTGTATGTCATGTACATGCGTTTGCCTGTGTCTGTAAAAAGCAGCCAGCCCTAGTTTGGGAGCCAAGAGGTCCCTGCTTCTCTGTGTGAATCCTCAGGTGTGTCAAATAGCAGCCTGCTGGGGGTGGGGGTGGGGGGAAGGTTGCTGCTCTGTGCTGTTAGGGCAAAGGGAAGCAGAAGGCACAACACCAGGCCCATCCTGAAGAAGTTCTCGGGGAGCAGCCATGTGGCAGGGACGGAGGGAGGCGTCCCAGGTGATGGAGAGGCACCCTGCAGCAGCGTCCACAGGCCCCGAAGCCCGCTAAGCTGTGGGAGGGGTGGGAGAGCAGAGGCAAAGGCAGAGTAAGAGCAGGAAGGGGAAAGTTGGAGGGAAGAGGAGAAGAAGGGAGGGGAGCAGGGAGCAGGGAGCATGAAGTGGAAGGGAAAGGAGAGGACTGGAGAGCTGGGCAGGAAGGCTCTGGCCACATGCCATGGATGGGGGATGCCCTCCGTGCCAGCGGTGCCCAGGCACACACAAGCTCCGCCCTCCTGCAGGACTCAGTTTCCCCATCTGTGAAATGGCTGGGCAAAGGTCCCATTCAGCTCAGGGAGCCGGTGGCAGGGTGGGTGTGGGTGTGGGGGGTGAGTAGGAGTCTCAGGAGCCCAGGTGCCACATCTTCTCCCCCACTTCCTCGGCTCTCCTCCTGCCTCCCAGACAGCGGGCGGGGGCGGGGCAAGGGCAGCCAAGGCTGGGGCCCTCCCCGCGCACTACCCCGGCTCTGCGGCGCCCTCGCCCTCAGCCCGGAGGGAGCTGACACGCTCCTTGGGAATTTATCACGCACCCAATTACAATGTTAATTGGCAAGTTCCTGAAATCAATTAATTCGCAAATTTTTTCCAATTAAAAATCCAGATAAATCACGAGGGCAGCGGCGGCCGGTCCAGCCCGCAGTCCGGTGGGCGCAGCGGCCGCAGGGAGGGGAGGGCGGGGGAGGGGAGGGGAGGGGGCTGCGGGCGCGGCTGCCCTTGAACGCCTTTGCCGGCCGGTCGGACTGTCAGCGCGCCGGGCGCGGCGGGGCCGAGACAGATAAAACCATCGACCCGTAGCCGCCAGCGCTTCGGCTTTATCGATCCGACGGGAATTTCACTTGCTGTGCAGATCCCGCTGTCCGGCTGTCAGACACCGGGGCGGGGGGGGGGCGTGCCAAGGGTTAGGGGGTGCTGGGCTGGGCCTGGACGTGAGGGGCACAGAAGTGGGGGACGCAAGACACAGCCATGAGGGGCGGAGCAGATGTGGGGGCTCTGGGTGGGGAAACGGACATAGGGGTAAGCGTGTGGAAGTAGGGGATGCTCTGAGGAAATACGGGGGGTACTGGTGCAGGATCACGGCTGGGGGGCACTTCTGTGGGTAGATGTGGACTCCCTGGGCTGTGCAGGGGTGGGGCCACAGGGACTAGGCTATAGTGTGGCCCCCACTGAGGAGGCAGAAAGAGAGCTTGGGCCCCCATTTTCTAGATCCTTAGGGGTCCACAGCTTTTACAGGACCCTGCAAGTCCCTCCACACACCTCTGCCTCTATTCCCTGTTCTTATTGAGGGGAAGTCCTCCACTGGAAGCAAATTACCCAGAAACCCTTCCAGACAGCCAAGGTGTGGAACTCAATTGCGGAAAGATATTTCTTTCCCTCTGTGCCCCTTTTAGGCTAGTCCCAGGTGTGTGTGCAGGGGAGGGTCAGGGATGTGTGTGTATGCCGGGATCGGTTAAGGGCACGGCACTACAGTCAGATTGCTTGGATTTGAATCTTATCTTTACCACTTTATGGGCTGTGCAACCTTAGAGAAGCCACTTAGCCCCTCTGTTCCTCAGTTTCCCCATCTGTAAAATGGAGCTAATAATTTTTTATTACCTACTCTAGAGGGTTGTTGTGAAGATTAAATACATTAATGCAACGTAGAGTACTTGGCATATAGCGAGTGTTCAAACAGGATTATTATTTTATCATTTGTATAGTCTTCTGTGCTAGTTTTAAGTATTCTCACAAATTCTTTGATATTCCTCCTGTCAAGAAGTAGAGCTTATAGAGTTTAATTCTCTCTTGAGTGGGGGCTGGACTTGGTGACTTGCTTCTAATGAAGAGAATAAAATACACTGGAAGCAATATTGTATGACTTCTGAGACTAGATCATATAAGGCATTGTGGCTTTCTCCTGACTCTCTGGGATCACTTCCTCTGTGGGAGGTCAGCAGCCATGTCAGAGGGAAACTCAAGCTGTCCTACGGAGAGACCCACGTGTGGAGGAACCATCTTGGGAATGGCTCCCGAAGTCACTGGCACACTTTCAGATGACTGCAGTCTTGGCTGACATCCTAACTGCAGTCTCATGAGAGACTGAGCCAGAAGCCACAACTACCCACAACTACCCAACTAAGCTGTTCCTGAACTGATGGTCCATAGACACTGTGGGTAATAAATGTTTGTTGTTTCAAGCCACTAGGTTTGAGGGTAATTTGCAGCACAGGAACACATAACTAATACTTCCTTCAAAATTCAGCTCAGGCCGCCCCTCCCATAGGAGGTCTTCTCTGCTCTGTGCTGGGGTTGGCGCTTTCTCCATGCCCCACAGTTCTTCCCATCGAGCAGCCTCTACCCCTCACAGTTTCTATGGCCCCACTCCCCTTACTCTCAAGCAATGAGCTTCTGGGGGTGGGACCCATTCTGGTTTACCTCTGGGTCTCCTGCACCCTGCAAGGGGGATTAGGTGAGACGGTAGAAGGAAGATCAGTCAAGTTTGATGACTTGAACTGAACAAGGGGTGGGGTGGGGTTGGGAATGGTGGCAGACGTATCTTCCAGAGAAGGCTGCAACCAACCATGTCTCCTATCCCACGTGCTTGCCTATAATATGACCGTGTCACTCTCCCATCAAAAGGTGGGGTGTATGTTTGCTCCCCTTCAGTCTGGCTGGGCTGATACTGCCTCGACCAATCGAGAACAGCAGAAGTGGCATTAAATGACTTTCGAGGCTAGGTTGTAAAAGGTGACGCAGCTTCCATCTCGTTGGCTGGAACATTTGCTTGAGTGCCCTAAGCTGCCACATAGAAAATCCAACTATCCCGAGGCTGCCAGGCTATGAGCAAGCCCAGGCCACATGGAAGCCAAGTGTAGGTGCTTTGGTCACAGCCCCAGCGGAGGTCCCAGCTGACAGCCGGAATCAATCACCAGACATGTGAGTGAAGGGGGCTCCAGATGATCCCAGCTCCCAGCCATTGAGTCTTCCCAGCTGGGGCCCCAGACATCCTGGAGCAGACACAAGCTATCCCCTCTGTGCTCTGTCTGAATTCCTGAACCCACAGATTCCATGAGTACAATGAAATGGTTGCTTTAAATTGCTAAGATTTGGGGTAATTTGTCACACCCTTGCTCTGTCCCTTTGATAACCTGGCTCCTCTATTAGGCCCTCAACGAGGCTCCATCTGGTCCTTCAGGCAGGGAGAAGGGAGGTAGGGTGGAGCACGGGGGGACCCGCCCAAGCCCATTCTTGATTGTCACCTTTCAAGACCTTGAGATTCATAGAGAAGGCAGTCCTTACTCCCCTGGATGGTGGCACAAGGCCACACTGCTGGGCAGACTGCCAGGCCCAGTCCCTGCTTCTGCTACCCTACCCGGAGGCTTAGCATGGCAGTGCAAGGCCCGTGGCCGTGGCTCATCCCTTCCCAACTCCTCTTGTGCCCTTTTGAGGCTGAGGACTGAAGAGGGGTCACGCTCTTCCCATCTCCGAAAATACAGCAAGAAGGGAAAGGCATCACCATTTTGCTGGAGGATCCGAGGACTGAAGGCAGAGTAGAGGAGAGTAACAGGAGGGCCTTGCCTTCTACCTAGAGGTTGGGGACTGGGCCAGGCGGCTGTTCCTGGGACCTGGTGTCTAGAACCCTGAGTGGAATCGTCTGGCAGGCAGGCTCCCCCGGTTGGTGGCTTACCTGGCAGGCAGCTGGGCCAGCTGTTCAAGTTCTTGCTCCATATGCTCCTGCAACTCACTGGGCCTTAGCAGGACCTGGCAGATGGGGCAAATAGGGGCCTGGCTGTCAAACAAAGCTGCTGCCTTTTTCTTACCTGGGGAGGGAAGAAGAAGAGACAGACAGATAAGCTGGGCTAGTCTGTGGACGGAAAGCCAGTGTCCCAATCCTCCAGTCCGAGCCTGCTGCCTCCCAGGACTTCCTGGCCTAGAGGAGGGTGGAGCCCGAGGGTCTCAGACACCAGGACAATTCACTCTTCTTCGTGGCTTGGGGCCATGAATGGCACCTCCTTAGCCAGCTGCCCCTCTGGGAAATCTGTTGGGACACAGTCAATGCTCTGTGCAATCAAAGCTGGATCACTTCGTTTCATACAGGTTAGTGAAGGTCTTGGGCCATCACCCAGAATATCCAGTGCCCCCTCTGTCTCTCCTTTCCTCCCTGCTTTCATATTCCCCAAATCTGGAGAAGGAAGAAAAGAGGGAGAAAGAGGATTCATTCCTGCAGTCATTCAACAAACGTTGTCTGGGGTCTACTCTGAACCAGCCCCGGTGCAGAGCGGTGGGGCCACAGAATATAATCAGATCTAGTCCCTGCCCTTGAGGCCCTCACAGTCGAGGCGGAATGACCAGAAAGGACCCATGTGACTTCCGGGGTAGTGTTCTCTCCGGGTTCCTCACCTTCCCAGGATTCTGCCCATAGCTTCTCCTCTCCCCGTTCTGCATGCTGGATGCTCTTCTTCCTTCTTATGGCCCTAACTCCCATCTGTGCCCTGTAGATTCCAGAATCTGTGTCTCTGCCCCCAGATCCCTCCCTGGTTCTCTCAGCCTCTGTATCCAAGCGCCTAACGGACAGCGATGCCTGGATGTCCCCCAAGAATCTGAAAGTCAACGATCCAAAAACAAGCCCTTCAGCTTCTTCACCCCTTGCAAAACTGCTCCTCTTCAGCAGTGCCCATCTTAGTTAATGACACCAGCACCTTAGTCACCCAAGCCGGGAAACTTCGCCTCCCCTGAGGCCCCTTCCCTTGCCTTACTGTCCCTCCCACATTCGTTTAACCACCACGTCCTGTCCATTCTGCTTCTTCAATATTCCTGGAATCTATCTTCTCCCTGTTTGGGTCTCACTACCTCTCACATGGATAACCTCATTGGCCTCTTGGGAGCCTAACAGATTCTGGGTTTCCCCCTCCCAAACACCCTTCAAACTCTATGAGAATACAAGTGGGTATTGTGCTGGCTTATGCTGGCTTGGGGGTCCAGCTGGGAGCCTGCACTCTGTCCCCACTGTGTCCCAGCTCTGTCACTGTCTCTCTTGCTGAAGGTGACCAGAGCACACTATTCTAGGAAGGAGGCTGAAGGTTGCCTAGTGCATGCCTCTTGGGGGAGCCTAAACCCTCTCCCTTGTCACTCTCGCCACCAAGTGCTCCTCTGCCCTCTGCTTAAGGCATGGGGTTGAGGAGTCCTATTCATCCAGAAACATCCTTGCCTATCTATGTAAACGTCGACTGTAGAAAGACTTCTTTAGCTTCAGTCAAGATCTTTCTCCCTGCTTCTTCTTCCCACTGTTGCCCAGAGAGGGTCAAAATTAGCTTTCAGAGAGATAAAGGCCATGCCAGTAATGATGGTGGTTGAGTTGGGTTGCCAGATTAAATATAAGATGCTCAGGGGTGCCTGGGTGGCTCAGTCGTTAAGTGTCTGCCTTTGGCTCAGGTCATGATCCCAGGGTCCTGGGATGGAGCCCCGAGTCGGGCTCCCTGCTCTGCAGGAAGCCTGCTTCTCCCCCTCCCACTCCCCCTGCTTGTGTTCCCTCTCTTGCTGTGTCTCTCTCTGTCAGATAAATATATAAAATCTTTTAAAAAAATATAAGATGCTCAATTACATTTGAATTTCAGTAAACAATGAATACCTTTTCAGTATAAGTATGTCTCAAATATTGCATGGCATATACTTATGCTAAAAGTTACTCATTGTTCTTCCAAAAATCAAATTTACCTGGAGGTCATATATTTTTATTTGCTAACTCTAGCAACCCCATGCCTGAAGGAGCTCCCAGTTCAGGCTGAGCACAGGAACCCACCTCCCTTTGACACAAGGTTGAGGATGGTCACAGCTCTCCTGGATGTCCAGACTGAGTCATCTGAGAGCTCAAAGGAGGGAGTAGTTCATTCTGGGTGTGTGTTTTGAGGAGTGAAAAAAGAGAAGTCTTAACCAAAGAAATGAAATTTAAGTTGCACCTTAGAAGTGTTCCAGGCAGAAAACTGGGAGCAAAACAATGAGTTGTGACTTTCTTGTGGGCAGGGACCATTTCTTATCCAACTTGATATTTATAGACAATTGAAAACAGACCTGACCTTGACTAGATGTGCAGTAATGAAGCAAAGGAGAGGAAAAGAGGAAGGGAAAGGCTGTAGGAAGAAGAGCAGATCATCCTAGAAGCCCAGTGATCTTCGCAGAGCTGGGAGGTCCACTGTGGAGGCTTGGTGTGGGCCAGGGTAGGGTAGGTGTGGCTCTAGTCTGTGTGGTTAGGTCTCTGAGCAGGGGAAGGGGCCCTCCTGATCATGTGCCTTGCTGACTATGCCTCAGATGCTCAGAGGACAGCTGGAAGGTAGTTCTGAGTAAAAGAAGCAGATGTGGCCTGGTCTGGAAGATGGGAGATGAGGATTCTAGTCTCAGCTCTGCCTCGAACTTCATTCGGCCCAAGAATCTTAGAGGTGGAATGAGACCCTAGAAATTCTGCAGGCCAATACCTTTGTTTTACAGGTGGGGAAACTGAGTCTCTGAACTGGATAGTGATCCCTGTACTCAGCTCATGATCTCAATGCTTCATTTATTTATTCACTCAGCAAACATTTATTAAACAATTATTTTACTTCAGGCATTATTCTAGGAGAAACTGGAGTTCAGAGATAAATAAAACACATTCTTGGCCTGAAGGAGATCACAAAGTAAGAGGAAAGCCAAAGAAGGGTCAGTGGGTCCAGTCAGTACTGCCCTGGCCAGGGCTGCGGGAGGTGGGGAACGGGCGCTCGAGGGTGGAGGCTGGAGGGACCAGAGGGTGGTTGGTAGGGTCCAGGAGGAGGCAGTGCCTGATGGAAGCATGAGGGGTGAATAAGGGAGAATTGATAAGGCTGTTAAAATGGATCATTGAGGCAGGGCCTGGGGCATAACTGGGGGCAATGGTAAGGGAGGAGACCCGACAAAGCAGAGGATCCAGGGCATGGAGCTGAGGTGGAAAAAATCAGGGTTTCTGCCCCTTTTAGCCTGGGCCACCAACTCTGGCTCTTAGGGATTCCTAGTGCCCAGAGTCTTCCCTCCAAGGCTGGGACCAGGACTCAGCATTCCCATTTACTTGTTCTCAGTTCATCTGCTTTGCTGCCACAGAGATCTACTTTTCGGAGCTCGGCCTCAGTTTCCCCATCAGGACAATGGGCCCTCTTCCTGGCTTCAGCTTTAGGAATAGCACTGACAGGGATCAGCAGAGGGACCCTGAAGCGCATGCCCTCCATCCCACCCCCATTTTCTCAGGGGTTAGAGTGGCAGGTGTCAGCCTGGCCATGGGCCCCCTGCTTCCCCTCCCCCGCTGTGTTCCCTATAATTTTATATTGAGACCTGTGGTCATGACGTGGGTTTTACTGCACTAACGACATGGCCTGCCCAGGTTTAATGACAAAATCCATACTCTGGCCCTGGGCCTGCTCCTCGTTTGCATAATTCCCAGAATACAGCTCCCTGAAGCTTTTGACCTGGGCCATTACAGTGGCCATAAAACGGGCCATAAAACCGCTGGGAATGGCCAAGAGGAGGGGGCTGTGGTCTTGCGGGGGTGGGAACGAAGTCCTCAACCCCCTACTCTTCCCAGGCCTGAGAGTAGGCATCCTGGCCCTTCTCTTCCACAGTTCCCAGAATCTGAGAGTCCTCAGGCTGGAGAGACCTCTGGAAATCCCTAGTTCAGCTGCCCATCTGATGTAGGAATCCCTGGAATCCCTTCTGCAACGCCAATGTGCCAGCATCACAGGTAGGCACACCGAGCCCTCCAGAGGCAGGCTGTCGGAAAGCATCTTCTCCTTGAGCATCCCTCACTCCTGCCCCTGCCCCTTCCCCCCCACCCACAGCGGGCCAGCCCCTTTGCCACAGGTGGGTGTAGGTCATTGCGGGCCTAGGTTGAATCTTGTCCCTCTTCAGGAGGCCTAGCTCCATAGGGAGGTCAGGAGGCAGGCTGAGCAGCGTAGTGGGGAGCCGCGGGAAGCATGAGGGGCTGGGGACAGGGACTGGGACGGGCTGTCAGTGCTAAAGATGATGAATGGGGGAGGTGAGGTGGGAGGCCCAGTGTTATCGGCAGCGGACGGCGGTGCGGGCGCTCGCCGCTCCTGTTAATCCCCGGGCGCTGCCTCAGCCCTTGCACTGATAACGAGGAAATGGGACTGACAACAATTTTTAGCTGAGAGATTCTTCACCAAAATGCCAGGCGGCCCGAGGTCTGACAGCGCCTGATTGAGTGTGTGAGTGTGTGGGGGGAACGCCGGCGGCCCCCTCCCCTCCCATGCAAAGATGGATCGCTCATTCTGCCTCCCGTCCACATTCATTACCGCGCCTCCCCCCCGGCCCCGCCCCGCCCCCACTGCGCCTGCCACCTCCACTTTCCCGCCCGCCGCAGGGAGCCCCCGGAGCCGGAGGGGAGCAGGGAGCAGAGGGGCCCGACCCCGTCCTCAGCCTTCCGTGCACGGCACCTCAAGCTCCAAGAGCCTGAGGCGACGACAGGGTCAAGCTCCCTAGCTGTGTGACCTCCATGAGGTCGCCTTCGCGTTCGGAGCCGCTTAGAATACCTGCCCACCCAAATCGGTGAGGTTCCACCCGGAAGTGACTGGCCGCAGGCTGTGTAGACGGATAGGCATGCTGAGGAGAGCGGAGCGCTCAAGCCAAGTAGCCTTCTCCTCGCCCGGGCCAGGCTCCCCACCGGTCGGGCCCTGAGGCCTTGGAACTGGGCCTCAAGCACCTGGGGTCCCAGATCAGCCCTCTGCTGCCCCCCTCTGTTGGGAAGTGCTGACCATTGGGAGCAGGCAACTCCAGGGCCCGCAGAGCTGCTCCTTCTCTGCCATCG